GTGCCTTTCTCATTTATTCACCCGTTCCAGTTATAAACTTATAAAGGCACGCATTGAGGCTTACAGATGCCCTATTGTCGAGGATCATACCAGATTTCTCACAAACCATGAACACTTTGCAGAAAATCTGCGCAGAATACTAAATCAATGATCAACATCATTGTATGCCATTAATTTTGTTATGTTGCTGTCCGTTTCACTTTTTTTAGTTTCTGTATTACTTTTCCCACTTTGTATTGATGACACTGTGGTTACTGAATATCTACCACCCGGGGTGTATAAGGCGATCCCTTGAATAGACTAGAATGTAGCTAACCTAAACCCGAACTGTAGGACATCGGTGTGGTGTGTGAAAACCGAATTCTACTGGGAGACGAACGGGGCGTCTAGTTCATCGGATCATACGCCTTTTGGAAGGGGTGCTCGTACCTAGTTATGACTACAAGTATTCCACGATTTGTTCAGCATAAAGCAGTGAAAGGGAACAAGATACAAACAAGAAACAAAAGAGATTATCACGTCTTACCTAAAGCAATGGTATTCACGGTGTCCTTTATGCACGGCTTTATCATCCGGTGCAGTCTCCGCTGAACTGGCGCATTTCACACCAGTACCGTGAGCTGGTTTCTGCAAACGGAGATCTTCAGCACCTTTGTGGCTCGTGTGACACCCATTAGAAATCGACTGTGATATGGAAGAACTGGAGGCTCCCAGAAAACCTGTACAATTTGGTGCACCACATCGACAATTCAGGCGTTCTTGTCCAAGGGCCACAAAGTTGTAGTCAAATGTGAGCTCTTCGCCAGCCGCAATATCACTAAGATATAAAACGGATGGGTAAGGACAATGTGTTGATAATATTTGTATCGTTAACATTTCTCTTACGAAAACTACTGACTACGCCCATGGCTTTCGTACAAAACCGGGACTGAGTAGCGCACCTAGACAATGATAGTTGAATGTATTCAGTCGGCATCAAGCACATGTGCCTTTAGGAAACGAGATACGCATTAGGAACTAAGACTCAAACCCTCCCACGTCCAAAAATTTCCATCCAAAGTTAGATATCTGGTTACTCGTAATTTTGTAGCCTAAGCTGAATGCTTTTGTCTCATACGGAGAATGAAGATCATTTCTGAATCAGTTCGTTCATTGAAGTGCAGTTCGTTTTACATGTTAGCTCAATCTTCAGCCACAGTTGAGCGAGGTCAAAAGTGTTGCTGATGCTTAAATGTGCCATTAGTAGACGTCTCAAAAGACGAAACGTAATGCAAAATAAACCATAAATATTCGGTTTTTCAGGCCCCGAGTCTAAAATGGAAAAGCCATAGATTAATCATACCGTTTAAAGGTCATGGGAGGACTGAGGATGCGCCTAATTAACAGGTGACTATAGGATGATATGAAGTGTCATAAGCAGTGGTGATTGTGACACTTCATTTTATATCCTTATTTTAGCACCGATCTGCGCGTATCTCGCTCCTTCTACATTGATTGACTAAATGCATTACCGAATTAAAACAACCAAAACCGACGACTTTAGTGGCTTTGAAAGACTGAAAACCGGATTGGAACGACGGGTAGTTCCGCGTAAGATAACACACACATGTAACTTGATTAAAATTCCTGTGATCACAGGGTGTGTTAAAAAATTACAACAATCCTAGGTTTTGAAGCAACACAAAAATCATACTGCACCTACCGAACTGCGAACAAACCAATCCGATTGTCTCCATTCACTGTCCACTTCTGCGTATTCAGGTTCGGATTGCATGAATGGTTCATAAACCGGCTTAGATTTCCTTTCGGTCCGGCATCAATAATTCGTTGAGAGTCCAGTTTCATCATGTAATAGTTAGTCACATTGTTCTCATGAGCAAAGCGTAAACGACGGTTAGCCTCTTCCTCGTCAATCAAGTCCCCGATATACTCATTAACAAAGTCACCCTGTTATGCGATGCGACGGGAGAGAAAATGAGATTACTTTAGGTCAAAATTTAGAGATACAAGCTGAAATGAATTTTGACGATGGATGCTACAAACTATCGGTGGTCAAACAATGGAAAAAATGAACACAATAATGGAAAATAGTGGCGACAAACCGTGATCATTCTACCATCATTATTTTATTACGAATTGACAGTAGATCTGCTTTAGGAACGTAAAACAACATCCAAAGTTTCTTTCATTCAATCAATTGATCAGGAGCACTTTGCACACAATTTCATGGTACACTGGCCGTGGAGAGAGCAACTAATTGTGCCCGTGTGGCAATAATGAATACACGTGCCCATCAAAGGGCTTAGGAGCTCCCGGTTGCTGTGCTTCATACAAAACACTTATCTACTCAGTAATTGTACTCAGGTAATTAAGTGCATAACCTGATGCCTCAGCTGTGGTTGTAACTGCATGGCTACACTTCGTAATGGTAAAGAGAAACTAAAAGGGATAGAAAAGTTTCGAATCAAAGAATAACATCTGCCTGAGCAGTCTACCTCTGACCCGACGTTTGTGTGATGAGGATGAGTGAATGGCCCCGACTGTTAATCACTTTATCGGGGAAGCCAAACAATGGATACTGCTGTGCTATCCCTGCTGACATTCTTTACCAGATCTTCCTGCCCTATTTCCCTTCTGGTTGCTATGATAAAGATAGCAATGCTTGCCTGTGTCACAATCAGCAGGATCTGCTAAACCCATTATTGCAAACGCNAAACCCATTATTGCAAACGCACATGGCGATGCAGCCGTAAGTTGCCTCGCTTGGCTCAGTCGGCCCATCAGTATGCAGACCTCTTCTTTTGACCAATTGACTAATTAGATGAATTTCGGGAGTCCGTTTTCAGACGTCCAGAGATTCTTTTCTATATAAATACTCTGGGTTCCGAATTATAGACAACTTATTTCATACAACGAGCAACGATACAAGTGTCGGTAGAAAGCTGGCAACATGAGTAGATAATTGTCCAATTGAGGCCAGCTCCAGCCAAAAACATGAGAATTTGATGAATATGCAGACATACCATAACCCAGTATGAAAGACACGGCTCAATCATAGCAACCATACACTAAGCATACTTATTCACTAGTACTTAACTGCCCAACAGCATATGCAATTTGATAGGATTGGCAAGTCTTTCTGCAGAGTTCAATTGACCTTATCTTGACCAACAAACACCATCTCAACCCCACCCACTGACATTCGACTCCGTCAGTTATTCACCACACAAAAACGGTACTGGTGTGAAAATCACTTTGGGCTTGGACTGGGTCGGGGATGGTACAAGCAGATTTTCATTTTACACTAAATTCTGGAACAATCACATCCTTTTTGTAGACCAATGATTTCGATTTTACTTTACCCAAGGGTTTTTTATTTAGTGGGCGGTACCATATTTCGACGCTATCTCTCCTTCAATGATACGCCATTGAGGTTTATTTCATTGTTACTATCTCTCTCTATATTAACAGTCCAAATCACACTCGAGCTCATGTTTTTATTCCCACCGAGCTCACCACGGAAAGTGGTGTTTGCCAAAGCTAAGTTCTCTATTTTTCTCCCTTTCTGTTGAACTTAACAATGGGTACGGTTAAGAAAATTACCTGGCACAAGGCTACGGAAATAGGTGTATTGATTGCTCTAGGTTGGCTTCTTTCATACTGAACTACCTAATCTACAAAAGGTGCATAAATATAGAAAAAACAATTTACTGCTAGTTTTCATTTCAAACACTAACGTTGAAGTTGGTAAGCCAGCTGCAAGGTTCGGTTCAGTCGGCAGTTGGATTGGTCACGGAAAGAAACTGATCTAGATATTCTATGTACAATCCAATATCCGAAGTACTATTACAGTTGACATTTCTTTGAGTTTTGCCATGAACAAGTCCGTGAAAAGCGGTACAAACCGAGATCTCACAACCATACCATTCTTGTGTGAACAGATCTCACCGGTAAGTTGAAATTGAGCGTTGTACATCGTAGTAAAGAGGAAGGTTTAAGTCTTCATTGTTACTTTGAACACAGATGAATAGGTATAAAATCTTTTCACAAATGAGAACACGGACAATTAACGACCTAGGGTCCGGCAAGAACAACGTTAGATCGGAAAGTGTATGCTGCGAAGTGTGCTCCAAAAAGTGAATATATCCCTTACACCGCGTAGCGCTCTTCCAATCTAATAACTG